ATATATATATAATTATAATGAAAATGTTATTATTATGTAATAATAATAACAATAATATAAACATATGTAAAACCTTAAAAATAAAAGAAAATTTTATAAAATTAAATTAAATTAAATTAAATTAAATTAAATTAAATTAAATTAAATTAAATTAAATTAAATTAAATTAAATTAGTGTTATTGATCATCTTTTAGGCTTGCAAAATCCAAACAATCAACAGACACAAAAAAACACCATAAGAAGCAACTTACGGCCATCAGGTGTGTGAGCCTCCATGTGTACCAAATCAAACTCCTTGTCCAAACCGGTTACTGACCTGCATTAGACACACACCAGAGCAAGGAGAAAGCTTTATTTCAAAGAAAGGAAAAAATAAAAATAAATAAAATCAACCCATAGCACACGTCCATTTTGGTGTAAAGAAAGCTGTGAAATGCCACTAACACAAAAGCTACATGACAAGAAATGCAACCAAAGTACAATATGATCCATAATTGGAGCTGTGTGTGTAAAAACATGCATTTGTTTATGTAAATGTGTGCTGAAATTAGCATGTTGACATCAATAGGAAACATGATCAAGTCCATGATTAATCAGAGACCCCCATAAAGCAATGATCTTAAACTCAATTCCTGAAGGGCCGCAGTTATAAATAAATAAAAAAATAAAAAAATAAAAAAATAAATAAATAAATAAATAAATAAATAAATAAATAAATAAATATAACAACAACAACAATAATAATAATAATAATAATAATAATAATCATAATAATAATAAATAAAAATTTAAAGGTAGACTGTTACTTTAAGACAATCATATAACACCTAAAAATCTCTCATTTTTATTTAAGAGGCACTTTAACAAACACTAGCATTAACTATTGTGTCTTTTACAGCTGAAGTACCACTCTTCTTCTATGACTCATGTACAAAGTGAGGACAAACTTCTTCTAAAAGCTCCTCTTTCTCACCGACGGTTAAAAACATCTCTGAAATACAGATAATCTTAGCTACGTCGTGTTTACAAAAGAAGAACTGACTGCACTTTAGACATCCTGGACAAAAAAAGAAAAAAAACTGTAATGTTCCTGCAACCTTACTCTTACATTGCTTCATGTTTAAAAATAAATAATGGATGAAAAACACTTGTGCAACTGGATATCATCTTGGACTTAGCACATACAGTAGTGAATTAAAGGCAGTTTCTTGCTAAATCAGTGTAGAAATGTGCTATTCTGAGTCAGAGATAGTTATATCAAAGAGAAAGTGACCAATGAAAGAGGGCTCCCGTGATGCAGCCCATTAAATAAGACAGCTTTAATTGTGGTAATATGATGCGATTAAAAATTAAAAAAAAATTAAAACAGAAAAAAGTAAGAAACAGGTCATTATTACATATCAGTAGGCTCAGACAGAATCTGCAAACATTTTTAGCTATTTCTGCGCAGAATTTTGTAAAAAATCTGCACATTTATGCGGAATGATTTTGGGAGTATCATAACAAAAAACAAACAAACAAAAAAAAAACATATGAGGGAAAAAAAAAAAACTTTTATTTAGTTTACAATGCAAATCCAAGTAGATCCACTTAATTGGAAAATAAAGCAAGTTTTAATATAATACATAAACCAAGAGACAAAATATTATTTTGCAAACTGTTTTGTAAATAAATCATATAAATATTTTTATATTTAATTTCATATTCTGCTTCTTCTTCTTCTTCTTCTTCTTCTTCTTCTTCTTCTTCTTCTTCTTCTTCTTCTTCTTCTTCTTCTTCTTCTTCTTATTATTATTATTATTATTATTTTTAAAATCAGGAAGATTTTACACAATAATATAATATAATATAATATAATATAATATAATATAATAAAATATAATATAATATAATATAATATAATATAATATAATATAATATAATATAATATAATATAATATCAATTTCTTCATAGAACAGTTCTTAGCTTAATTTGAAACTTTTTCAAGAATCAATATGAATTATCACAGATAACAGATAAACTGACACAATAACTTATAATACTTACATGTATGAAAGAAATGCTTTACAAACACAATATATATATATATATATATATATATATATATATATATATATATATAT